AGATATTTTTATGTAGTTTCATAAAGCTCAGAAGCTAAACTCCTTGGTCACCTGTATGGTCTCAGCCTGTTGATGAAGCAACTATTTCGGGAACTTCTTGAAGAAAGTTCCAAAAGAGCACCCTTCCCTCTTGGCGGCTGCAATACCAAACCTAGCCTAGGTCCTGGAGAACTGAAACCTTCCTGTCTATTGCTGAACACCACAATTTGAAAGAGTCACACTGGAAGGGACTCTGCTGCTGAAGCAACAGCATGCTATATGTATGCTAAACAGGTGATTCACTGTTGCAAGACACTCCATAAAATAACCACATAATCCACTTCATGCCAGTAAAATTACCTGTATGTCCCTGAACCCAGCCACAAGCAGATCTAACTTCTTTGATCTTAAGTGGATCACATTGATACAATCCAAGATGATAAAAGAGGTTTTTTCTGATGAACATGCACAGAATGCATCCAAAAGTAACTAGTAATAATAGCTTTCTCAAAAACAAGCTTGCATTTATTGGTACTCTATTTGTTAAAGTTTTCACAAGTCTAGAATATGAAAATGGTCCTTTACCCTTACTTAGCAACAGAAAGTAAAAGAAATAGAATATAATCTCCCATAGCTCCCAGTCAGCACAGCAAGGCCAAGGCCATGAAGTATTTCTGAAAATGGATAGTTAATCAAGTCAGAAGGAGGGAAAGAATTATATGGGGACAGAGTGGCAAAGGATCATAAATTTAGGTATCTACAATCCCGAATTTAAATTTAACTAAAACTATTCAGTAATACTTACTAGGTGCAAACATTTTAATGCACTGAAAAAACAGAGCCAATTCTAAATAAATTAAAGCAGAAAAAAACCAAGCAGGCTAGAAACTAAGAATATACTTCTCATTTTTGGCAGCAAGAGGAGGCAAAGAGAATTGTCCAGCTTTTTCATAAGGGATTGTGATAGACCCAACAAATACATCAGTCCTCAAGGGAGACATAATGAAGAAAAAAATATGAGAGAGAGAAGTCTGATCTAGTATGTAGCTCCGACAGATCTCCATGAAACCTACACTGATTCACACCCTTAAAACACAGAGCTAAACTTAAAGATAAGCAGGGATCATCAGAGACAGGACTGCAGAAAGTTTAGAGCTGGGTACATGAAAGTGCTTTTGAACACAGGGCATACACCATCGATCTACAACAATTATCTTTCTTAAAACTATAGGACTTTTCACTTGATAAAGAAATAGCCCACTGTTGCAAGTGGAAATTGATAATGCCTTAGTGCCTTTGATATAAGTCATAAGAGAAGGCAACACTCTATGTCAATGGAGCCATTGGTTGCCATAGCTACCATGAAATACACAGCAAACATCAATGCAAAAGCCTGGTTAATGAAATTCTTAACCTGGCTTTTTGGCCTTCAGGATATGCAGCCCTTGATGGAGATATTATTCTTGTTGCACTGTAATGCAGCACTAAAACATCTGCTTCCCACATGATTAATTTAACAAATAAGTCAACACACAGTGAGGCATACTCTGAAACAGGACACGGGGGAATGCAATAGCCCAAGTGTAGAGGCTCTCTAGTATATCAAGTTATTGTCTCCAGACTTAAAGGGGAATCAGAACAAGACAGCCATAGAAACAGGATGGTACTCATCAATGACAGATTACTGACTAGTTATAGTCTTATTATAACCATATGGCATAGTGCTTTCTTCAAGCTTATTTCATAAACTATCACGTTTCATTATAACACAAGACCATCTACCAACCAAAACCACTCCAGTCTGAATTTTCCCCTGTCCAACTGCATGGGGTTTTCTTTCTCCAACATATGAACTCACTTGAACTATGAACATATGTCTACTATGAATGCTTTAGAACTGAAGATTTTGCCTTCTTCAGAACATTATTAATTATCTCTGAAGGAGCTGCTAAATTTCATTTGCAAATAGCTAGATACCATATGGGAGACAACTACAAACTATTTTCACCTACTGATACATCAATGGATCTTAAAATCTATTCAACCTTGCAACAGTTAGAGTTTTTAATACTTTAAGAAGCAGTCACATTTACTAACTTGGATATTTTCTAATGTCTACATTATATCCTAGTAGATCAGACCAACTACAATTAACTTAATCATCAAAAACACTGAAATCTGCATGAAAATCAAAAGGTTCAAAAGTGTGACAATCTGATTTTTCTAAGTCAAATGAGTATTACACAAGGTACCTAAAGCAAATCAACATCCATCTATTATGCTATATTCCAGCTTCTTTTTATAAAATCATCAGAAACAAAAAACTAACCCTCAGTTACCTCTAAAAAGCAAATTATATATTTAATTAGTAGCACAAGATTGAAACACACATCCTCCTACTCCAGACCAAACCATCTCTCGATTTACATTAGCCACCCTAAAGGAAATGATATGATACTCCAGATTCTAAACTGGAAAGATTTCCTTTACAGCAGAGCAGTTAACTAAGACTTCTTCAGAAGTGTTTTTTGAGATGCACCAAATAAACAAACTCTGAACATGGAAACCAGATAACAAGAACCAAGAGAAACAAAATATGTTACTATAATATTCATATACAGTATCTACACAAAATTTTATCTGAGCAGACAGATGGTAGATAAAGTTCATAAGTAGGCTCCACATTTGATTCCCTTGCTATTAATAGAAGCCCAGGCTGTAGTGGCCAAGGTTATATCGGGCTAGACACACTCCAGTTTCCTGAGTCTACCATGAAGGCCTCCTAACTTTAACAGGCAAAGCATTATCTTTGTAATTGTGCAGTTGATTTGTATACACAAAGTTAAATCACTTTATCTAAACATGCTGCATTAAAGTAATTCAAGTCAATAGGTAAAACTCCGAGTGTGTTTGCACACAATGCTTTTACATTGGTTTAAGCTTAATTTACTTTGTCTTGCACAGCAAACAAAGTTTCTAGTTCACTTAACTGCAATAACATCAATTCTTATCATCATAAGCAGAAGTGACCTTATGTTAAATGCAGATGCCCCATATGCTGTCCTGTATTGTCCTCCTTATATGTCCATGAGAACTGGAAAATCTACTGTTCAATGCCAACTGTTGTTTCTGAACAAATACTATGTAATTCTTTATTTTTAATGATCAAAACTCCTGAAGAGAGCTACTTCACACACAAGACAATTTACTCTCAAATTCTACCATCAAAGGTAATAAGTAGGGTAAATAGAAACAAGGAGAATATTCGTACTCCCTCAGAGTTTGCATCTGTTTACACTGCAAATTTAAGCATTTTTTATTTCTTCTTTATTAAACCATCTGTCTTCGAGAAGAAAACTGTTTAAAATAAGAAAAGTCAACTCTGAAAGCTATAAACTCCAGGATGAAAGCAGTATCAGAAGTTATTTTTAATATTCACCCTAAAGTAGTTCAATTTGTCTGTGCTCTATTAAAATCCTGCCACTAAGAGGAGCCCTAAGTCTATTCCACAATGAACAGTGGAAGAAGTGACATTAAATTTTTTTCCTACTTCTCAAGATCAAGGGGAACTGTTACTTCAGTGATACCGAGGAAAACGGAATCACCAGAAGCTGAAAAAGGACCCATGAAGAAAGAATCATTTCAGCAGTAGCCACTCGAAACCACCCAAGATTAATGAAAACAAAAGGAGAAAAAATTCTTCCACTAGAGAAGTCTATCAGTAAGAAAAGATTCCATCAACAAGGAAGAATGAATAAATTATGGTGGCAGACAGTATGAGGAAAAAAAAGGGGAAAAAACCTAAGAAAGAATGAAGCCACCTCAAGGCCTAGAGTAGGAGAATGCTGACTGCAGACACAAAGAACTGGAGCCAAGACAACAACATTCAAAGAACAGAAAAAAGAAGAATTAATGAAATCTCTAAGCAGAAATGTAAAAATAGAAGGAATCTTAAGATGCTGATTGAGTGACACAGAATTATCCACTGTAAATTTGAAAAAAACAAACAAGAAAACAAACAAGGAAAATGTTTTAATATTCCTGTATGTTCCTAAAGTTTTTCGCTAGGTGTGCTACAACTCAGGATTCAACAGCATGCCATCTCACCCCAGCTAAAACAGTCAAGACAGAGACTATTCTAGAAAGCTAGTCAGAAGAGAGGCCTCAGTCAAGCACTCCAAAGTGTCATTTAGTAAAGCGTTTAGCTCTCTGGTGAATGAACAGGAACACAGGGAGCTCCAAAAAGACACTGAGTTGTGAAATTTGAAGTTAACTGGCTAGGTATCACCTTCACCCAGTAACTGGTTGACTGATCTTTCCTTTTACCATTGAGTACAAAGCGAACAAAGGAGAGTTTAATGAGGTACCACATTCCTCTTCTTCTAACCAGGCACTTCAGTCTTGCCTCCAGTAGGTCTGCATGCTTACAGAAAAAGAAAGACCTCTGACTTCCACAAAATCCTGCCTTTGTTGTACTCAACCAAGCATTACCAAATTTCTCGACTTAAAGCTAAGGTGGCAAGATGAACTGTAGACTGGGAAACCAGACAAAAATGGCTCCCTGTTACTCAATCTGTTCACTTTGGCTTATCTGCTCACATGATGTCCCAAAGTATTTTGACACACTTCACGGCTGGCCGTGCTAGGCCAAGGCTGTTAGCTGGAAGCTGACAGGTACTGCCTCCCATGCACTCCGCCTTATCAACTTTCCTGGAGGCAGGCACTGGGTGCAAGGGCAACGAGATTCGCGTGAGCGTCCTAAAAAAGGCGCACACATATCAACAAGGCCACCTCGCCGAACCGCGGCCAGGGCCGGCGGGAGGGGAGGCGGGGCGGAGCCCCCCCTTCGGCCCGCCGTGGTCCGACCCGCAGCCAGGGAGTGCGAGAGGCGGCCCAGCAGGCAGCAGGTGCCCTCCCTTACCGCCCTCCCGCAGGGCGGCTCCGGGCACGGCTCCGCCGCGCGTGGGGCCGCCCCCGCCGGCAGGTGCCCGCCCGCCCCGCCGCGGCCGCCCGGCGCTCACCCGGCCTCCCGCATGACGTTGCTGTCGCCGCAGTCGCAGGCGCCCCCCGCCTGGCTCCGGAACATGTTGTAGTCGTGCCCGGCGTGCTCGCCCTGGTGGAAGCACTCGGCGCACAGGCTCATGCAGGGCGAGATGCCGCACGTCCGGCACCGGTAGGCCACGAAGTTGGCGGTCCACACCAGGCCGCACAGCGTGGCCGGGTCGTAGGCCCGCACGGCTTGCACGAAGCTGTCCCAGGGCTCCCCGCCCGACAGCAGGCAGCGGCACCACTCCAGCGCCTCGCCCGCCGACTCGCCGCCGCCCGGGCCCGCCGCCGGGGCCAGCACCCGCTCCAGCAGCGCCCGCAGCTCCGCCGCCGCCGCCGCGCCGCCCTCGCCACCCAGCGCCGCCTTCAGCCGCGCCGCCGTCGCCCGCTTGTCCCGGCTGCCGGCGCCGGCCCCCGCCATGACGGGACACCGAGGGGCCGTTACGGCCGCGCCGGGCTCCGGCTCCGCGCTCCCCCCGCCGCCCTCGCTCCGCTCCCCGCCCCGCGGCGCCGCCCTCTCGCGATAGCCGCGGCACCGGCGCCCTGCCTGCCGCCCGCGCCCTCCTCCCGACACCGCCTCTCCCCTCCCCTGACACCACCCTCCTCTTCCCCCGCCCCTGCCCTCCCGCCGCCCTCCCAGCGCGCAGGTGCGCGCCCCGCACCGCCCACGCGCGGTGTGTAGCTGTCCGCCGGCCTCGAACTTCGTGTCCGGACGGAGGTCTCGGCAGCCCCGGAGACCGCGGAGGGCGCAGTTGGGCCGGCCCGTGGCCCCGACGGCAGCGGAGCCCGTTTGTTACCGAGCCGCGTCTCCCGCCGAGCGGGTGCCGTGAGACCCCGCGCTGCCGCCGCCGTGGCCGGGCCGCAGGGTCCCGCCGGGCTGAGGCTGGGGCACTGCGGGGGCTCCAGGAGGCACCTCTGAGGCTTCGGGCCGGCCGTTCCGCGCTCACTGCCATCAGGCGGCCCCACTGGGCGCAGAGCAGCGCCGGGCTCCGGCAGCAGCCCCGCACCCCGGGGTGTCCGCAGACCTGCGCCCCCGTATCCCATGCGGCTGCCTGCGCACTCCCACCGGGAAAGAACGCGAGTTACCGTGCCTCACACACCGGTCGGCGGTTTTATAGCTGGATAAACAGATTTTCAACTGTGCGATGGAAAACTTCAAAAGAAAAATCTGTCCCTAAAGGAGAGTAACCTTCTACCCGACAGCAACGGGCCCCAAGGCAGCTGCCTCTCTTCTGGCTCTCCGCTGCTCCCTATGACTGCCCGTCTGCCGGCGGCTTGTGTTGTGTTGCGGTTCCTTAAGGGCAGGGAGTGTGGGGCACGTGGTGCGTGCAGCGTGTCTCCCAGCAGGATCGCAGGAAGGAAAAAAAAATGGGGAAAGTAGGTAAATCTGTTACTCTTCTTTCAACGACCGCCCTTCCACCGGCCGGGCAGAAGTCCCGTTGCTTGCTCTGTCCCTAAAGGGCGCTCAGCAGCGGGACCGCCGGGGACAGACCTGGCAGACCGGACTGTGGCAGGCACCAGCAGCGGTGACACGTGAGGTTGCAATAAAACGTCCCGTGTTTACAACACACGACACCGGAGCTCACCCACTTGTTAATTAAACAGAGGGAGAAGTTCCGCTGCGTTTCCTCCCCTCAGGTGCCCGTCAGCCCGGGAAGGGGCGGGCCGGGGGCGGTGCGGCGGAAGTTGCGCGCGCGGGCCTGCGGGGCTGCGGTGAGCGGGCGGAGGGGCAGCGCGCGGGCCTGCGGTGAGGGGGGGGCGGCCGCGGGCAGGGACCTGTGGGGCGGGCGAACCGAGTGGTTGGTGGCGGTCGCTGGGGCTCAATCGCTGCCTTGCTTAGGGCTGGGTGGCAGGCGGGCGCTGGCGGTAGATGCGGAACCTCGGGGGCCGGTGGGGAGCGGGGCTGCCGCGGTCCGGCGATCGTTCCCTGTCATCGGTGCGCCGCCAGCTGCATCCTGGGAACAGCTTCATGGAAACAACCGGGAGATGCTGCGGAATACTCGGGGATATTAAGTATAAAATAATTTAAGATAATATGTAGTTTATTTATATTACCGTAACTGATTATACGCTATTTCCTCTAGCTAAGCCATAAACATGAAGAAATTAAAGCTTAAAGAACTGGAAAGCTGTCTTCAAGAAGTCGATACTTTTGACAGTCCAAAACTACTCCTTGAACAGTATCCAACAAGACCTCATATCGCAGGTAGAGGTGACCCACACCACTGTTGTCTCTTTTGCTAGTTCTTCATCAGCACTTTTAATTAAAAAAGGTTTTTTCTACTTTATCTCCTTTGAACACTTTACATTAAAAGTAGTTAAGAAATTGTACCCAACAGGAATGTAATTATTTGGAAGTATACTGGTGTACAATCCAAAAATCAAATAAACTGATTTAAAAGATAATGTGATAGAAGCATCTTAATCTGTAACTGCAAAAGCTGACTTGGACTTATTCCATGACACATAAAACCAATAAAATTGTATATAGAGACACTCCTTCATACCTTAATTGTGATTTTTTCAATATTTTACATCCTTCTATTTTTCCTCAAACAAATATAGAGGCACACTTTTTCCACAAACAATACTCAAAGCTCTATGTGTAATCTCTCCAGCAAAGACCAAGAGTTCTACAACTCAACAGAATGTTTTTGACTCTTCACATATAAATGAAAAAGAGAATTACAGGCAGTGAGAATATCAGCTTAATTTTGCATTACAAGAAGCCTTTAGTTAAGCGTTTTCTGAAGGCAGGTGTAGCTTTCCTTGATTAAGCAGGTGTATATTTGATATTATTGACCTTTGTTGTTTGTTTTTTTCCCCAGCATGTATGCTTTATACAATTCACAGTACTTTTGATGATATTGAAAACAAAACAATTGCAGATTTAGGATGTGGTTGTGGCATGCTCAGCATTGGAAGTGCAATGTTAGGAGCAGGGTAAGTATTTAATGCTATGTTCTGGTTATGTTTTTTTCTAGAATAGAACAGTAGAAAGTAAAATTAAAAGATAGCAATGCTGAACTACACTCATTTTAAGTATATAATCTGGTGCATAATCAGGCTATTTAATAAGTTCTGACTGTCAATAACCATTCCTACTGTGAAAGTGGTGGACAGTTGTCATGAATTCTGAATATTTAATATTTGCTTTCCCTTGAAGCACTAAATAAACCCATGAAACTTCCTTAACAAAATTAGAGTTATATTTGAGAAATGGCAACAGAACTACTTGAATTTTTATATGCACTGAATTTATAAGGTATGCTTGTTACATTTCCTAGATAAAACAAGTTGTGTACAAGAATCCCTTTCAAAGCTTTAGTTTGTAGAAGACTAATATGTGACGCTTTTTTTTTTAATAGATTCTGTGTGGGATTTGACATAGATGCAGATGCACTGGAAATATTTAATAGCAATATTGAAGACTTTGAGCTCACGAATGTCAACATGGTTCAGTGTGATATCTGTTCTTTATCTGGTAGCATGTCAGATGCTTTTGACACAGTTATTATGAACCCTCCATTTGGTACCAAGCATAATAAAGGTTGGTAATTCTGAGAATCAGTTAGAAATTATTACAAACAAAGTAGCAAGGGAAATGCTTTTAATGAAGCATCTCCCTTTGTTAGCTAGCTATTCTAATTACCTAGCATTTTGTTGATCAGGAATCAGCTTCCTAAGTACAGATTAACAACTTCAACATTGTAGCTAAGTCACTGGATTTGAAATAAACAATATTAGCTATTTCATATCCCTAGCATTTTTATCAAAAGCAATTGGGAAAGATTTAGAAATTCTTTCTGTACCCTAATGTATTCAGTGCTGTTTCTCAAATAGATATTATTCCAGAAAAAATGAAGCAAATATTTAAACTTCCATTTAACAGCGCTAATAATATCATCATTCTCTTAGGAATTGACATGATTTTTCTGAAAACTGCTCTACAAATGGCAAACACAGCTGTATATTCCCTTCACAAAACTTCAACACGGCAGGTAAGTCCTTCATTTTAGTACGGCAAGCATTAACCAGACAAGAAGACAAGATAGATGCCATTTAACGATCATGTCTGTAGCTTCAAATTTACCTATATCTATTTAATATTCTAGCACATTCAAAAGAAAGCAGATGAATGGGAAGTGAAGATGGAAGTCATAGCAGGTAATATTAGTTTGTTGTTAACAGAAAAAAAAAACACCCCAACCTTTTGTTTGGGGGTAATACCTATAACACTACTAGCCAGTCATAACAGCCTGAGGTAAATTTACTTGTGATTTAACACTGAAATGACACAGGTTGTTTTTTTTTTAAGCAGACTTCTTGTTTTTTCATATCTTGCTACCTGGCTAGAATACAAGCAGGCACTTAATAAAGCTTTGAGGAATACATACTCTGTGCAGAAATAGGTTTCTTCCTAGACTAGATTTTGTCTTCGGGGTAAGTTACCTCCCTTCCTGCTTCAAAAGGAGACAGTTGCTGAAAAACAAAAGCAAAGCACAGGTCAGTTCTCACACAAAAAAGCATCCTGTTCTTAGTCACCTAAATATTTTTGGTGGTTGTGTAACTGTCTTCCTTATTCTTAAATACCAGTAGCTCGAGGCTTTATGCAGTCGTGGAACTTAAGACATGAAGTTGCACAAGTACTTGAAGCACAACTGCATTTCAGCCATCCACTTTAGCTGCCTGATCTGGATAGCTTAAATGTTCAGTCATCGTCTAGTCCAGAGATCCAAACTTATCACAATAGGCCACAACTGAGGTGGGCATTGGAAACAGAAGTACATGGATGTAGGATTTAAGTACCCAGTAATCATACTAGTCTAACAAGTATTCTTTGTACTGTTCACAGAACTTAGATTTGACTTACCAGCATCATACAAGTTCCATAAGAAGAAATCAGTAAGTATAAAACCTAACATAACTGAGCAAATGCTGTGGTAAATAAATTCTCCTTATGAAAATTCAAGTTTTAGGGCCATACGTACTGGATGAGGAATGCTCACAGCACTTGAGACTTCACTCTGAAAGCATCAGGTTCCATTGCTGTTATTACATTTTGTAGCTGAACAATGAAAGGAATTGTTATAATGCCAGTCAAAGCTGTACACAAATATTAAAGCCAACACTGCAACTACAGGTGATAAACTAAGGGTAGCCTCCTTGACTCAACTCCCAACAGCCATTTGCTTGATCCTATCTGCAGCCAGTAATTAGACTGAACTAAATGCTGAAGGCCGCAACTGTTACAGCTGTAGCATTGTTTCAATGTTCTGTGCTCTCTAGAGCCAGTATTGCAAATAGCTACAGCCAGTGAAATCACTCAGCCATCCTGGGGGGAGCATAAGGAAGCAGTGGACTTCATCCAACAATTAAAGATCTAGTCAGGACACTCAAGTATGGAAGGTTAAGCCTTAAGCCCACAGGCACGTT